AAAATCGCCACTAGTTTTAAAAACCTTTGAAGCCAATCGCGTCGCTGAAATCCAGGGTGTCGACCGCGACGTAACTTGGCGTCACATAAATACAGAACAAAACCCGGCCGATGCTTTATCGCGTGGCCAATTACCTGCCGAATTTTTGAAAAATAGATTATGGTTCGAGGCGCCATCGTGGCTCCGTCAACCTGATTACCTTTGGCCTGTAAGCACATGCGAAATAATTACCGAGCTTCCTGGTTTAAAGAAAAATATATGTTTAGCGTCAAACATTAGGACGGACATTTTTTCAAACTTTTCTGCGTATACGAGACTGGTACGAGTCATTGCATATTGTCGCCGTATGCGTCGCGCAAATCCGTACAAAGGCAGTTTTTGCTTACGAGAGATCGCGGAGGCTGAGCGACAAATTATAAAGGTCATACAATCAGAACAATTTCAAAACGAAATCAATCAATTAAAGAATGCAGAAGACACAAAAAATTCTCGGTTAGCCAATTTGAGTCCATTCGTAGACGAACATGGCCTGTTACGTGTCGGTGGTCGTCTAAAAAACGCAGAAATCAGCTTCGCTCAAAAACACCCGATCTTGCTGCCATCTTGTCATCACGTCACTGAACTTCTCATTCGCAAAACGCATGAAAGGACTCTGCACGCGGGTATTCAAAACACGCTATATACTTTGCGACAACGTTATTGGTTGTTGGACGGGAAAAATCAGGTGCGAAGGGTAGTCCGGCGATGCCTGCATTGCTTCCGCTTTCGACCTACCACCAATCAGCCTAAAATGGCAGATTTACCGAAATCGCGGGTTGAAGAAGTCGCAGTTTTCACTAACGTAGGAATTGATTTTTGCGGACCGTTCTTTATTAAAGAAAAGAAAAAACGGAATAAGATACGCCTTAAGGTGTATGGTTGTATCTTCATATGCATGTCCGTCAAAGCTATACATATTGAAATCGTATCCGATTTGTCAACCGAAAGTTTTTTAGGCGCGTTGAGACGATTTATTGGTCGCAGAGGCGTTCCAACTAACATTTACTCGGATAACGGTACGAACTTTGTCGGGGCGAGCAACCAACTAAGCGAGGCATACGCGTTATTACAATCTGACGAATTCAAAAACCAAATTAATCACTACGCAATGAGCAAACAAATAATCTGGCATTTCAACCCACCATTGTCACCTCACTTCGGAGGTATTTGGGAAGCGGCTATAAAGTCCTTTAAACACCACTTTAAACGCGTCGTAGGAGATCTCATGTTTACATACGAGGAACTCACTACGTTCGCAACTGAAATCGAAGCGATTTTAAATTCTAGACCCTTATGTCCGATTTCGTCGGATCCTAATGATCCAATTGCTCTTACGCCTGCACACATTTTAATTGGTCGTCCTTTCACTATGTTACCCGAAAACGATTACACGAATGTTCCAGAAAACCGTCTGTCTACCTGGCGACTTATCACCAAATCTCGTCAAAATTTTTGGCGACGATGGTACGTCGAGTACTTGAACGAATTACAAAAACGCCAAAAATAGTTAAAGACAGGCATCAATTTAAAACCAAACGACGTGGTCATCATCATGGACAAAAATCAGCCTTGTATGCGGTGGCAGTTGGGTCGGATTGTAGAGGTTCATCCAGGAAACGACGGTGCAGTCAGAGTTGCTACTGTGCGAACAGCCAACGGCACATTTCAACGGAATGGGACAGTGTTGTGTCCTCTTCCGAATATGACATAGGTGTAATGAAATCATCTTGTTAATGCATCATGTAATTACACATCACACACTACATACCATCCGATTAACGAATTATTGCTCGCATTACTCGCAACGGGGGGAGGATGTCTGCGCGTTCGTTTTAAATATTTAGAAAACGTGGTTGACGCGAGATGCCGGGCGGTCTCTTCGGAGAACCGAAGGGTATCGCAACGTTTAGAGAGAGAAGAACGGGGCACTCATGCCTCGAAAAAGGATTCGTTAACGTACTTCGGGCGCGACCGGTCGAACGGGTGATTTTGTATCGCGTAGTTAAATTCAGTAGTATTTTATTAATTCAAGTTCAGGGCCCTGCTAGCAACAAAACAATATCATTTTGACGTCTCTGATGACGTCCGGACGTCTCCTTGTGCGGGGGACTCTAACGGAGCCTGGTTTCCGTATCATCATAAATAGACGTCTTCCCGCGCAGGAGTCTCCGACGGAACCTGGTTTCCGAATCAACAAAATTCAAACTAATAGGGGAACTGTTTCCCAAAAAATCCGGAGTCACGCGATTATTAATCGCTGACGGGCGCCCACCATACGTGTACACGTTAAAATCAAGGTTCACACGCGACACACTCACACATACAATTACATTCTAACACGGAATATCAAATTTGTAATCAATAATCAAGGGTTTTTTATGCCTTCGGGCTTTTTCCCTTGCGAAATAAACTATTCATTTTACAACATAATTCTAATTCATTATTTGACAAACCTTCGTAAGCCTACACATCCTACCATAGCCTCAAATAATTGCGTTCTTTTCCCCGAATCGTCACCCGGCCTTATCGCTTTCGAGTGTTTAGAAAACTCGAGGTTCGAAGCCGAAGGGTAACCGCCATCGAAGAGCTGAGGACGAGACGATCGTCATTCCTTTTTAAGCCACAGATCAGAGATCATCGTGCATCGGAAGCTTAAAATAAATTTTAAAGGAAAAAAAAGAGATTACCTATTATCGAATAGTTCGGAAGTGTTCATGTGGAACAGTTTCGACCGTGCAAAGATCATTTACTACGTCACCCTCTATGGAGCTCATTATACAGGGTATCCCAGAACTGGGGTAAGAGCCGAAGAGGGATGATTGGTGAGGTCTTTCTAAACAACTGTTTCCTTTGCCAAAATGTTGGTTAAGGCTTCGTTTTCGAGTTATTAACGAAAGACACTAGCCAATCAGAGCGCGCCGTTAGCGCGGGAGTTATGTGACGACACATAACCCCAGTCTTATCACCTCAGGCAGGACGTGGCACTGCAACAGACATAACAAAATTCCGACTCGAGGATGAGAATAAGACAAAGAGAAAAAGAGAGCTTACCATCGCCTCGACGACAATTCATTCATTCAGTGTTGAACCATCGACCTAAGCTGTTGACCTGTACGGACAAAGTAAACGTGTATAATTAAAAGAATATTGTATATTTACTTACCTCCTGTCACTTAACTCGGGCCGAACCACAAGCGTGTTGGGTATGCTTTGCGTTCAAGCCGCGGCGCGGTCGTGATTAAGTGCATCGGCACCACGACGGTATGATAGGGTGAAAGTTGTATGGAATAATGAATAAAAAAAAGAAAAGAATAATAATATCGAATTATTGGTTGCTCATGAACAACGAAGAAAGTAATTGTTCATGTAGAATGAATAAATCGAATTGATCCAACACTTTTATTTGTTGTACGATAGGAGTTTAAAAAAATACTTGGTAGTCATTTTTGAAAAAAAATGAGAAAAACGAATACACGTTTTGGAAATCAAAATAAATTTGCAAATAATAAAAAGCGATTCATCTGTAAATAATCCAGCTGCAATGAAAATGGTTTTTCACTGGGTCATTGTGTCGATCCTGAACATTTGAGGAGGGAACACGTTAGGAAGAACAGCTGATCTCTAAACGGGATCATTGAACTCACTCAACCACACGGTTACTATCACTTTTCACAGAATTTCACTATGTAGTGCGAAAGGGACCGATTCTTTCAACTAAATAAACATTTTTATTCACTGTCACGTTGCTATTGCACTGCGCACAAATGAAAAACGTAATATTCTACACTATTTCGTAACGTCTTCACGACGTTACTGGCCTTCCTTTCCAACTTCAAATGGGACTACTAGCTTCAGCGTCTGCGTAGTCTGTTTCGCTCTTTGTCCTTTTCTACACTCGAAAGTAACCGAGAGTAAGCGAGAGAGGCTCGTGTCGACCCTTTGAATATAGCCGAACGTAGAAAAGGATAAAGAGCGGAAATAAAACCTCGCAGACGCTCAACTTAACAGTCTCATTTGAAGTTGGAAAGGAAGACCAGTAACGTCGTGAAAACGTTACGTCGTAGTGCGGAATATTACATGTTTTTCATTTGTGCCCAGTGCAATAGCAATGTGACAGTGAATACAAATGTTTATTTACTTGAAAGAATTGGATCCTTTCGGACCATGTAGTGAAATTCTGTGAAGAATGATAGTGACCGTGCGGTTGAGTGAGTTCAATAATCTCGTCTGGAGACCAGCTGTTCTTCGTAACGTGTTCCCTCCTTGAATGTTCAGGATCTGCACAATGACCCAGTAACAGCAAACCATTTTCATTGCAACTGGATCATTTACGGACGAATGGGTAAGTTTTATTTACATTATTTTTGAATGTTTTACAATTTAACATCCTTTTTTTATTATGTGGATACTTTTTTTATTTCCAAATCGTGTATTTGTTTTTCCATATTTTTTTCAAAAATGATTACAAAGTATTTAAAAAAATTTTTTTTTAATTCCTATCGTACAACAAATAAAAGTGTTGGATCAATTCGATTTATTCATTCTACATAAACAACGATTCATTACTTTCTTCGTTGTTCATGAACAATCAATAATTCGATACTATTATTATTTTCTTTTTTTTATTCATTATTCGATGAAACTTCTGCCCAACGAATCCTATTATACCGACGTAGTGCCGCTGCACTTGATCACGACCGCGCAAAGCATACCTAACACTCTCGTGATTAGGCCCGCGCTAAAGGCACGCTCTGATTGGCCAGTGTTTTTCGTTAATAACTCAAAAACGAAGCTTCAAACGATATTTTGGTAAAGGAAAATGTTGTTCAGAATCATCCCAACAACCTCCCATTTCCGAGAGTTACAGGAGTTACGGGACACCCTGTATATTGTAAAATGCCTAACTTCATGAAAATCATTTGGTTGATAGGTAAAATAACACTGTATTCATTCATATTATACGGACAGTTTTCTATGTAAGTAGGTTATTTAAGCCGAAAGCTATTATACATTTATCAAATATTAAACATCTTTTGTATTCTGTGATAACGTTTGATATGGTTGATAGAAAAGGTAGTATCTAGTTTGTTATACGTTTATTAGATTGTATTTATTACATCAGTACATGCTATTAAAGTAGATATCTTTATCATGCTAGAAGATTATGTAAAATCTTTAATTTAATTAAGTGTACAATTTGATTTCCGTTTTATTCTGTCATAATTCTTTAATTACTAATGGAATATGGGATAGTATTAATAAAACTCTGCACTTTTAAGAATTTCGATATTTATTCTAAAAGCTTGGAAGAACGTCTTTACTGTGCTGTGAACGAGCAAGGAATGAAACCTCCCGAAAATGCACGCAGAAAATTGGCACCCACTTTCAGAAGGAAAAATAACGGCTCCGGGCCTTTCAATGTGTTTATTACTAATCGTAAGTCAGACCCTTAGATCTGGTACGGCTCGAAACCCATCGACTCTGGTGACAGAGCTAGGCCTTTGTCTGATGGTTAGTGTCCCTCAACATAGAGATTCGTTTTTGTATACAGATAATAATATTATTCCAACAATTACTTTAAGGAACATATATTGATGTACTAATCTGGCCAAAATTTGGTTGCCCCGACCTGCCCCTATAGTTTTTATATGTATTTTCAGGAAGCTATGTCATACCTCGTAGTACTCTCTTCGAGATATGGCTCAGCAAAAGAGAGAATTCCGACAAGAACACTGTTAGCATAGTGTGATATAATGTTGGTACCACTTGTAAGAGTGCGAATTTTGGCAGCACTGCCTGAAAACCGTTAATACTAAAGAAGCAAGCGTGCAATAAAAAACGATACCTGAAAACGTGTTAAGATTCTTTATAAAAATTCATATCCATCCACGTGTAATGATACCAAATACTTATTTAAAACTATCAGGTTATGGGCCCAGAGCTCAATACTGTGTGATAAAACCGTGAAACAAGTAAAAATACAAAAACATCAATATCAAAATATCAATATCAAGAAGATGTCGAGCGCATGCCTGTGCTGAAGCATGCTTCCGCGTTTCCTTTGTGGGAGTTAGAGATTAAAACTCTTTTTGAATCAAAAGGTCTCTGGGAATATGTTGATGGATCGAAACCGAAAAACGCAGTTGCTGAAGACGTAAAAGAACTTGCTGGGTGGACTCTAAAAGATGCCCAAGCAAAACGCTGTATCTTGGCTACATCTAATCTTAGTGCTAAGACTCATGTCTTGTGCTGTACAACTGCAAAAGAAATGTATGAACAACTTACGAGTGTGTTTAATAAGGACTCTACTCAGCAAAAGACACAACAGTGGAGTGACTTCTACAATTTCAAGATAAACAAGAATGAAGATATCATGTCTAGTCTTCAAAACATTGCATTTAGATTAAACAGTATGAATGAAAAGGTAACTGACACCATGTTAATAACTAGAATAATAGCAGCCTAGCAGAGGAATTTCGGTACTTTAGTAGTGCATGGGATTCATCCCCCTTAGATCAGAAAAGATAAAATAAAGAGCCACAGAAGAAGATAAAATAAAAAAATAAACAGATGAAAGAGTGGCATTCAAGATTATGTTACAAGGTTCCAAGAAGAAAGGAAAAAATGAAAACCCCAAGTTTTTCAAAGGAGTCTTTTGTTATGGCTGCAAGCAAGAAGGATATTATCAAAATTCTAAGAAAAATCTTGATCTGTGTGATGGAATAGATAATGACATAAAGAAATACCACAGTGAAGAAATATGTGAGTTATGCATCATAGGCAAGAAGACGAGAAATCCTTTTTACCCTGAAGGGACCAGAGCTAAGAGCCCACTTGAAATTGTTCACACGGATGTGTGTGGTAAAATATCTCCAATGACACATAACAATGAAGAATATTTTTTGACTGAAATAGTTGAATACACCCACTTCCTGAAAGTCTATCTGTTTCATATAAAATGTGAAATTGAAGAATATCTAAAACAATACCTTTTGGAAGCGGAAGCGCACTTTAACCTGAAAACAGAGAAGATAAGATGTGACAGAGGTGGTGAGTTTAGAAGTAATGAATTCAAACTCTGGTGTAAGAACAGAGGTACTGTTATTGAGTACACAATAAATGACACCCCACAGCAAAATGGAAGAGCTGAGAGAATAAACTGCACCTTGATAAATAAGGTTCGTGCCATGCGGCATGCGTCTAAGCTTGAAAATAAGTGTTGGGGTTTTGCTGTGCAAACTGCTGCATATCTGTTGAACAGAAGTGTCACGAAAACAGTTGATGTCACCCCTTATGAGATGTGGAACGGAAGACGACCTAACCTGTCAGGACTGGAAGAATTTGGACAGATTGTTTACACAAAAAATCTTGGTTATCTAAAGAAACTAGATCCTCGGAGTCAGAAGGATATCTTCATTGGCTATTCTGTAAACAGTTACAGGATTTTGAATCCCTTAAACCTAACAGCATATATTTCAAGAGATGTCTTTACCAAGAAGTTTGTAGAAGAGACAACAAGAGGACCTGTTTTGACAGTGGAAAATATACATCTTGAAAATAATGAAAATGAAGATAATGAAGATGAAGACCAAAACAATCTAGAAGAACAGGATGATCTAAACTATGAAGTAGAAGACACAGAAGATGAAGAACACCAAGAACATATACAAGAAATTCGTCAACCAAGACAAAGAAGATTGCCACGACACATTGAAAATTATGAAGTGCCAGACACTTACAGATCAAGACATGAGGTACTTCTCACATCAGAAGAAATAGACATCTCATATGTTGATTGCATGTCTAGCGATGGAAAAGGTAAATGGCAAGAGGCAATAAATGAAAATAAACTATCTTTGAAGAAAAATTGTGTCTGGGAGCTGGTTAATGAAAAGCGAGCAGCAGGTAAACAAATCATCATGAGTTGATGGGTTTTCAAGAAGAAAGACAACGGAATATACAGGGCACGACTTGTTGCTAGGGGATGTCAGCAGAAGAAAAATTCTTTGGATTTTGTAGATATCTACAGCTCAGTTGTACAAGTTACTACCCTGAGATTGCTGTTCACTCTCGCGGCTCAAGAAAATTATAACATCATCACATATGATGTGAAGACAGCCTTCCTGAATGGGGAATTAGACAGTGAAATTTTTATGCAATTACCTGAAGGCTACAGTGAACCAGGCAAAGTATGCCTACTCAATAAAATAATTTTTAACAAAAAACACAACCGACTTCGAAATGCACTAAAAAGTATGAAATAATTTCTACTTCATTTATACAAATACCCAACAGCTATTAATAAAACCTATTTACTCGTTAAATCGTATACTAAATACATTTCAACCTTTTCGGAGGCGGCGCAAAATTAATAATACCCGAATATACGATGATGCCAATAACGATTTGATAGGTTGCTGACGCCTGAACTAGGATCTTCCTAGTAGAAGAAAGTTTTTAATTTTGCGCCGCCTCCGAAAAGGTTGAAATGTATTTAGTATACGATTTAACGAGTAAATAGGTTTTATTAATAGCTGTTGGGTATTTGTATAAATGAAGTAGAAATTATTTCATACTTTTTAGTGCATTTCGAAGTCGGTTGTGTTTTTTGTTAAAAATTATTTTATTTCACACTTTTTAGTGGAACGAGCAGTGTTTGTAGGATGCCGTAAGGTGGTTTACCGTTCTTATTGGTTAATTGCAATAACGATAGTTTTCAACGCTAACAAGTTCCATACATTTCTGCAAGTGAGATCATCGCGGAAATATCTCTTATTAAATGCGAAAGGTTTCATCGCGATCGGTACATGCCTTGCAGAGTATACATATGTATATAGAAACAGTAGAGAATCGGCGACTGCATGCTGACTCATACACCGGTAGAGACATGTAGGCATACGTAGAATTCAATGTAGTAGTAACAATAGTTTTTCACGAATATCTCGGAAACTAAAGCTTTCCGTTAATTAAGCATAAGAAAAAAGTTGTTCAGAATCATACCCCCGACAACATATTAAAAGATCATTGAAATCGTCCAATCTTGAGATTAAAAGCTTCATGTATTTTGCAATAACAATGAAAAAATGAAAAATTTTTTTTTAATGGAACCAATCGGAAGACATACCCTACAAGATGCAAAAGGTTTCGTTCCGATTGGTCCATCCATCTCGGAGTAATCGGTGAACACACACAAAAAAAAAAAAAAAAAAAAAAATACATACTGATCGAATTGAGTAACCTCCTCCTTTTCGAAGTCGGTTAAAAAGGATTTCTATGGGCTAAGACTGTTGGAATACAGTTGTGTTACGTCGCGAGCGAGATACGGCGCGCGACGTACAAAATAAAAAAAAAGAAAATTAATAGATGGTTAATACGCGGTTGAGAATGGTATTAGCGCTGCCACCAGACCTAATCGCTCGTGACAATGTTGGATCACTCACGATTAGAACAATAAAAGAGTTGTTAGATAAATTAATAGATTAATTTAGAGATTAATCGGGTTCGTCAATGCTCTAGTACGGGCCCCTCATGTGAATTTGTGCTTAGATGGTAGGCGTGAAAATGAAGGAAAAGGAAGTGTTTCGAAACGTAAATGAAATTAAACTGGTTAGGTGTAAGAAAAATATAATTTCGGAAAAATAACGTGACATTAAAAGTAATTGGTTAACAGGAAGTACGAGCTGTTTGAAATATAAGAGAAAATAAATATATTATAAAGAAAAGTACAAATTATATGAAAAGGAAGCTATTGATTACTGGTTAATTGAAGTTTGCTTAAATGATTCGATGATTCGAGCGACGATGTTCTGTGAACCCTTTTACGCGAAAACGAAAAGAGAGAGAGTGGTCCCAGGGGGAAATTACCAGAACGACGGTTTCGTGGGGCCGTCTCCTCTGGATGCGAATCGGAATTTATTCAAGAATATTAATGTTCGATACCTTAAATCGTAACGTTGAACGGCACGATCTAGTGGGATATTTTCCAGAACACCCGGTTCCGTAGATCGCCCGTTTTGCCTCACTAAATCTAGATTTGTCGTATTGGATAGAAATGAAATGGATAACTTACCAAGATCGATGTAAAATAGTATATGATAAGACTTTGAACTATTTGTCGCTTATTTATCTCTAGTGTCGTTTAGAATCTGGAAGTCAAAGAAGAGGTGAGAAAACTGCCACTTGCACTACGCGTTCGCGATCGGCCTTTATTTCGGTGTTACGGGACGATTAATTACGAGACGAATACAAACTAATTGCAAATCGACGCGACGCGGAAAAAGAAAAATAAATGATATACGAACGATATAAAAACGAAAGAGAAAAGATAGAAATTGAAAAGTGTGAAATGAATTTAACGTATTCGTTTGAGTCCTTGTCACAAAACCGCGAACCGAAACACTCTCGACACTCTGCCTTGATGAGGACTTGCCGAGTAATCTAATTACGCGATTTTACTAACAACTCTATCTCTACGCGAACACGGGCTCCCCGTCACGCACCTTGCGATTTTTCGACGAAGAGTAATTTGCCTCAGTCAAGCGATCGTGTCACAGGGTTCGACCCGCGATCAAGGGCCCAAAGTGGGGACATCATTTGGCAAATCAGGGTACGTGTCGGAGGGGAAATTCCGTGCGTATTGGGCTAGTTGGCCGCTCTTCCTAGTTTTCTCATCCCTTCTCGACCTTTCTTTCTGCCTTCGTCTAAGATTGTCCATTTCTTTCTACCCCTCTAACGCTATGCGGATTTCATGCGTCGCAATTCTAAGTTTCTGGAATATTCGAAATCTACTACGACTTAATTTATTCGAATTCGTTAATCAAGGCTTTTACAAATGTCGTTTCCGGTATCGAAA